AGGTATTGTCTAAAATTGTTATAAATCTCGGGGGAGGTTTGTGAAATTATCCCTTACTTCATTGCAAGATTAATTTTAAATTGAATGGTAAAAGTTTTGAAACCATATGCAACCTTAAAATTTAAGAGGTTAAATTTGAAGCGAAAAAAATTCCTTAAAATCAAAATATAAATAAATCCTCAAAATTCAAGGTGTGCTTAATTTAACTCCCACAGCCTAAGGAAAACAAATTAAAATCATGTTCATGTTTGTGGCACTTATACATAGTTTCCTCGACAGCTGCCTTTCTACCTCACCAAGAAGGACCACATAAAGTGATGCTCTCATATTTTTGGGTATAAAAATTAAAGTGCCTCGCCAGATCTATTGGTCCACAAAAATACAAAAAAAAAGAGAGAATACATTTTGCAGATTGTAATGGATGATAACATTTGCTTCAGTTTTGTCAATTAGGGCCCCACTCTTGGCAAAAAATTGGATAAATTCTTTCATATCAAATACGTAGAATTGTGATTAGTTTGTATGCCCATTTGTGTAGCTATATAGCATGCAGTGGTGTTAATAGAATTTTGAATTTTTTAATTATTATATATCTTTTCATATCTATTGAATTTAAAAAGTAAGAATGGCTTCATTTATATAGGAATTTGATTTGGAATCTACTAATGTGAGGGTAAATAAAGAGGAAGCATCACCGAACCTACTAAAATTAAAAATAAATAACCATATTTTATCCCTTGACTTAGTAATCCTAACTAAAAGGGCAAATTATATAGAAAATAAAAAGAAAATAATATTAATTGGTTATGTATTTAAAAAATCAATAATGGTACCATTCGTGAATCCTAAATTATGAAATCACTAAATAAAAAAAGTACTACCAACATTTCAACATGAAAATTTTTATTTGAAATTCATTGGGTTTAAAATATATGTTAATTTTATTAATGTTTTCTCTCTCACGGGATTAGATATTTCACTAATTCATTGTTTTTACAGGAATTTTGATAATTGGTGGTTATCGTGGGGCTTGAAGACAAAAGAATATTTACAGAGATAATTGTTGAAGATTTTACTTGTTAGACGAGGGCGCGCATAATTCCAACTTTCAAATCCAGATTTTCGGGATTTAGTGTACGTGAGAAGCTTTCAAAAAATTGCATCAAGGCTGATTTTCGAAAATGTTGGGATTGACTCATTCAGTTGTGATGATTAGTAGTCTACTAATATTAGGAGATTCCCTTGTTATCTTTTAATTATTAGAATGTCTGTTAAGATATGATTGGGGGGGATTAATTAGTTGGCTACAAATTAGGAATCTAGTGGGGTCACTTTGAAAAAAAAAAAGGGCAGAGTCAGTTGTTTTAGGCCCTCTCTTCATATTGGGAGGAGAAAGGGAGAACTAAAGAAAAGAAGGGGAGAAATTTTCTGCAGTTTGTTTTCACCTTGCGTTTTTTCTCCTTTTTCTGTGAATTTCTATGAAGAAAACGTTCTTTGTTCTTTCTTGGCTATTTTGTGAAAATTCCTCTATTACACATAACTAAACCCTCTGTCTACTAAAAGGTCAACTCAAAGGCATGGTCCAGAATCATATGTGAGATCGAATCGGTTTTTCTTATTTCCTTTTCTTTATTACTATTTTTGCGTTTCCTGAATTACGTGTTTACGATTACTTGGTTGATCGAGTATCTTAGGCCCGATGTTTGTATTAGCCGAATAATCTATTGCCAAATTAGCTAAATTGAATCCGTAATTGTTCCTTTGGTTAATATTAGTGGCAACTAATATAATTGGGTTCATGTTGGGGAAACATATAATCTAATTTAAATAAACCCTCTTAGCATGTTTATTGGTTAGGGTTGAATTTTTCTAATTACTAATGCAATCGGGAAATTAAATTCCTATGGTCATGCTTAGGGTTATTTTCTGACTAGGGAGATAGTCAACAATCGTACATTGACTGTCCAACGAATAAGAAAAAACTGGCTATCAGAGCTTGTTGGTAGTTTTAACTAACCTAGTAATGGAGGAATAGAATATCTTTGCGTCAGTGATTATATATTTGGACCAGTCCTGAGAAGTTGAACCTTTGAGTAGAATTTTATTTACCATTGTTTCTATCTAATTATTCCTTGTTGGTATTGTTGAGTTGTTCTTTATTATTGTCCATTTAAATCCCCCATTTTCCTTAGCTTAAAAAGAAACAAATTCCTGCTCATTCCCTGAGGAGACGACCCTGCTTGTCACTGTCTACAAGTTAATAATTTTCTGTTCGCTAGTCAATTCTTGTATATCGGATTAAGCAAACTCTTCGGAGTTAGGGTGAATCAAGTAACCCATTGCACATCCAGAGTCCTTGCTCTAGCACCAAGAATTGATTGTTGAATGCTTTTTGTAGTATTTAGATTTTTATTATTACACAGGTTTGGCACCTGTCAATTTTTGGCTTCGTTGTCGGGGAGTGGTGCCTAATTTTTTTCGTTCCTTTTTGAGTTAATTCTATTTCATTTCATTTTTATTTTTATGGTATTTTTGCTAGTGTATGCCTCGTTCTTCCCACACATATGAATTAATATACGACGTTGAGGTTGAGAAGACAGCACGTAGGCAAAGACAAGAGACCAAGAAACGCAAAGAAGGATAGTCATCTACTGCAAATGATTCAGAACAAGGAGAGTATATGATGGCAAATAACAAGACACTAAAGGAGTTGGCTATCCTAACTTAAGTCAGCAGCCACTTTGTATTACCTTTCCTAATCTGAATGAAAATACCTCTTTTGAGTTTGAATTAATTCACCTCTTACCTTCTTTTCATGATTTTCATGTGAAGAGCCCCATAAGTGTAAGGATCGAAAACAACCTAAGAAGGGGTGAATTAGGTTGATTATAAACTAATCAAGTTATGGGCACTTTTTGCTCAATATGAAATTTACCCTATTTTCTAAGTGATCACACAATAAATCAATCAATGAATGAACAATAGCACTTGAGAAAAGTAGAAGATATAAGCAATTTAAAGATCACAAGATAATAATAAATAAATAAGAAGGGAAGAATTACAAACCAATCGACTACCAAGCTCCTTTTGAACTTGTAGATCAATTCAAACAAACTTTTTCAAATCGATGAAATACAACCAATCTTGTGTACAAAGGAAGGTTCACTACCTCCTTGCCCCAATCTTCACTTGGTCAAATTAGAAAGTTTTACTATCCCTCAAGACAACCCTCACAGAGTTACACTATTGAATTATTTACTCACAAATAAAAAGCTTACAATGAACTTCACACCACCAAGACTACAAATCTTCCTTGGAGAGTGTTTTCTCACTAAAACTACTCTATATCTTTTGTATCTTCAATGTGCAAAAGTTATTTGAAATTTCTGACCATGCTCTATTTATAGGAGACCAAGAAAGTATTTCATTAATGCTTCCAAGTGATTAAAGTAGCTGAATAGTCAACTAACCGTTGGGAGTATCGGACGTCCGGTACATCTGAAACTTGCGTCCGACAGCAGACAGTGAATTTGAAAATTCTTCTTCAATTCTATCGGACGTCCGGTGCTTGCGTCCGAAAGCAGACAATGAGTTAGAAGAAATATCTCAATTTTATCGAACGTCCGGTATTGTCTTTGTGAGCGTCCGACAGCTTTCGTCAAATTTGAAGGATCCTATCGGACGTTCGATGCTTGCGTCCGATCGAGATCAGTGAGTTAGGGGGCATATCTTATTTCCTTCGGACGTCTGGTAATGGAGTTCTTCATGCGTCCGAAGTTGCGCAATGATTATCGGACATCCAATCCAGTCTTCATGAGCGTCTGACAGTTTTCAGCACCCTTTGTCTCTTTCAATTGTACTTAATTTTTGAACCTGATTTGTTTCATTACTGAAAAGATCTTTGAGGAGATATTAGTACTATCCATTTATTTTGTAAATATCAAAAGATAGGGATCAAGATCAACAATAAGCATCTACAAGAATTTGAAGTAGTGTGCCCAAGTACGAAACCTCCCGAGGTGACTGAAGAGTAAATTAAACTAAGAGCATTTCCTTTCTCTCTCAAGGACTCGGCCAAGGATTGGTTGTATTACCTGCCGGTAGGTAGTATTGCCACCTGGGTGAAACTGAAGAAAATTTTTTTGGAGAAGTATTTTCCTGCCTCCCGAGCTGCTAGTTTGAGAAAAGAGATATGTGGCATTAAACAGCAACCAGGGGAGACCTTATACGAGTACTAGGAGCGGTTCAACAAATTGTGCACCAGATGCCCCCAGCATCAAATAAGTGACCAGTTGTTAATTCAATATTTTTACTTTGTCTTATTTTGTCTGACAGGAACATCATTGATGCCGCAAGTGGTGGAGCACTGGTGAATAAAACCCCTGAAAAGGCATAGGAGTTGATTAAGGAAATGGCACAGAACTCACAATAATTTGGCCCCAGAGATAATGTCCCCACTCGTCGAGTGAATGAGGTGGAAGGTTTGCCTATTCAGTAGCAATTGTCGGAGCTGACGTCATTTGTTCGACAATTGGCTATAAGAAATACACAATAAGTTAAGGTTTGTGGGATTTGTACCAACACGAAACATGCTACTGATATGTGCCCAATAATCCAAGAGGAAAACCCTGAACAAGTCAACATGGCTGACAACGTGCCCGCGCTAAGGAGGAGATCATCCGAAATTTAGTTACGGAGAGAACCGCCAGCAAAATTTTGGTCAGGATAGGCTATCAGCGTTCCAGCCTCAATATCAGCCGAAGGCCTATCTCTCATCCTCCAATAGAGGAAACTCCTTCGAAGATCTGGTCAAGAGCTTAGCCGCAAGTACCACCCAATTCCAGTAAAGTACTGCTCAATTCCAATAGGAAACAAGGTCTGGCATGAAAAATCTGAAAAATCAGGTAAGTTACATGGCAACTACAATCAATCGTCTAGAGTCTCATATTTTTTGGAAATTACCATCTCAACTCGAAGCAAACCTAAAGAACGTGAGTGACATGACCTTGAGAAGCGGCAAAAAAGTTGAAGGGTCCCAACTAGTAGTCCCTAAAGGTAAGAGCGATGAGCAAATAGAAAAGGAGTTTAAGGAAGAAGGAGGGGGAAATTCAAATCCCAAAATAATCTCCGACTCTCTTGTGAATCATAAATCTAATACTCCACCTTTTCCTAACAAGTTGGGAAAGCCAAGGAAACTAGAGAAGGAGAAAGAGATTCTGGAGATGTTTAGAAAAGTGGAGATAAACATCCCCCTGTTGAACGCAATCAAACAAGTACCAAAGTATGTAAGGTTTCTGAAAGATTTGTGCACTAATAAGAGGAGACTAAGGGGTGATGAAAGAGTGGTGATGGGAGAAAACGTATCAGCTATACTCCAAAGGAAGTTCCCACCCAAGTGTAGGGATCCAGGTATGTTCATGATCCCATTTAAGATGGGAAATACTACAATTAAGAAAGCAATGCTAGATTTGGGAGCATCTATAAATGTAATATCTAAAACTATTTATGCTTTCTTAAATTTTGGGCCATTAAAAGAAACTAGAATCATAATTCAATTAGCAGACCGTACTTATGCTTATCTGGATGGGCTAGTTGAAGATGTCTTAGTGCAGGTAAATAAACTAGTATTTCCAATTGATTTCTATGTTCTAGATATGCGAGATGAAAGTCTGTGAATCCGTCACCTATCCTATTAGGTAGACATTTCTTGAATACTGCTAGGACTAAAATTGATGTAAATAAGGGTACTTTGTCAATGAAATTTGATAGGAAGACTGTACATTTTAATATTTTTGATGCCATGAGGTACCCTAAAGAGTCTAACTCGATTTTTGCTTTGAGTGTCATTGACCCACTTGTGAAGGGAGTTTTTGAATTTGATGGTAAGAATGAACAAGAGATAACTTTGACTAAGCATCTTGAGTTAGGAGCAACTCTTGATGTAGAACTAAGTGATGAACTACGACATATGGTTGAAGCATTACACTCACTTCCATCTATTTCTCTAAGATATGAGCTTGCTACCCTTTTTACACCAGAAACTCATCAAAAGTTGTTGTCTTCTATTGTACAGGCACCAAAGTTGAAGATCGAACCTCTCCCAAGCCATTTGAAGTATGTGTTTTTAGGAGACAAGGAGACGCTACTAGTCATTATCTTTGCACACTTGTCACCTAGTCAAGAGGACAAACTGGTTCGACTTATTCAAGATTATAAGAAAGCGATTGGATGGACCATTGCAAATATCAAAGGAATCAGCCCCTCCTTATGCATGCACAGGATTAGGTTAGAAGAGGATGCAAAACTAGTGAGACAAGCTTAGCGAAGTTAAACCCATTGATATTGGAAGTGGTTAAAAAGGAGATCCTTAAACTCCTAGATATAGGCATTATTTTTGCTATCTTAGATAGTCCCTGGGTAAACCCTGTTCAAGTAGTTCTTAAGAAGGCAGGGGTGACAGTAGAGGAAAATCAAGAGGGCAAAATGGTCCCAATTAGGAAGCCTATGGGATGTTTCCAATGCATTGATTTTCAGAAGTTGAATTCCGTAACAAAAAAGACCATTTTTCCCTTCCATTTATTGACCAAATGCTTGAAAGGTTGGCTGGTCAAATTTATTATTATTTTTTAGATGGCTTTTCAGGTTATTTTCAAATTGCGATAGCATTGGAGGACTAGGAAAAAATCACTTTCACTTGCTCATTTGGTACTTATGCTTACCGAAGAATGCCTTTCAGGCTTTGTAATGCCTCAGCAACCTTTCAAAGATGTATGGTAAGTATTTTCTCTGAATATATAGAAAAGATTATTGAGATATTTATGGATGATTTTAGTGTCTACGGTGATAGGTTTGATGAATACCTTGATAATTTAGGTTTGATTTTGAAAAGGTGCATAGAAACTAACTTAATGTTCAATTGAAAAAAATATCAGTTCATAGTAGAGTACGGTATAGTTCTAGGGCATGTGATACCAGTTAAAGGTATAGAGGTAGATAAAGCGAAGGTAGATCTTATTTCTGCTTTACCTTATCCCCTGAGTGTACGGGAGGTGCGTTTCTTTTTGGGTCATGCAAGATTTTATTAGAAATTTATCAAAAACTTTTCAAAAGTTGGAGCGCCGTTATTCAAGCTATTGCAGAAGGAAATGACCTTTGACTTTAACGATGAGTGCAAAATGGCGTTCGACAAATTAAAGGAGCTCTTGACATCACCACCCGTCATTCAATCCCCATATTGGAAGCTCCCATTCGAGATAATGAGCAACGCAAGTGACTATGCAGTGGGGCTGTACTGGGGCAAACGGTTGGCAAGGCAGCAAATGCGATCTACTATGCATCAAAATTTTGAATGGAGCTCAGCTTAATTACTCTACCATTGAAAAAGAATTATTGACTGTTGTTTTTGCCTTAGAAAAGTTTAGGTTTTATTTACTAGGTGTGAAAGTAATAGTTTTTCTGATCATCCAGCATTGTGGTACTTGTTGACCAAGAAGAACGCAAAAACCAAGGTTAATTAGATGGATTCTGCTCCTCCAAGAATTCAACTTGGAGATTCGAGATAAGAAGGAGGTGGAGAATCTAGTTACTGATCACTTGAGCCATTTGCTTACAGTTGAGGAGGATCCCCTATTGAGGGAGATTTTTCTCGAAGAACAATTACTTTCTGTTAATTCTTCTATTCCTTGGTTTGCTGATATTGTGAACTTTTTAGTGACCAATCAAGTACCTGCAGGTTGGCCAAAGGCTAAAAGGGACAAATTGAAGAGTGATGCTAAGTATTACATTTGGGATAATCCCTAGCCTCGGAGGCAGTGCTCGGATTAGGTGTTAAGACGGTGTGTAAGTGCACATGAATTTCATTCTATACTCACTTTTTGTCATTCTTTTGCATGTGGAAGACATTTTGGACCTAAGAAAATAGTTCGTAAAGTGTTAGAAAGTGGCTTCTACTGGCCTACCTTTTTTAAAGATGCATATTTATTCTGTAAGTCTTGTGATAGATGCTCAAGGGTAAGGAATATTATACGTAGAGACCAAATGCCTCAAACTCCTATACTTTTTACTGAAATTTGTGATGTTTGGGTATAGATTTTATGGATCCTTTTTCTTCATCCTATGGTTTCTTATATATCTTGTTTGCAGTTGACTATGTGTCCAAATGGATGGAGGCGAAAGCTACCCGAACCAACGATTCTAAAGTGGTTGCAGAGTTTATTAGATTTAACATCTTTGTTCGCTTTGGAATGCCAAAAGCTATGGTGAGTGACAGGGGAACACACTTTTGCAACAAGACAATTGCTGTTTTATTCCAAAAATATGGTGTGTTCCACAAGGTATCCACGTCTTACCACCCGCAGACGAATGGTCAAGCTGAAGTGTCAAATAGAGGGATTAAGTTGATTTTGGAGAAAATGGTTCGTCCGGATAGGAAGGATTGGAGTTCAAAACTGGAAGATGCACTATGGGCGTATCGAACCGTGTACAAGATGCAAGTTGGGATGTCGCCCTATAGATTAGTATTTGGGAAGTCATGCCACCTCCCTGTGGAATTTGAGCATAGGACATTTTGGGCGATTAAACAATGCAATATGGATCTCGAGAAAGTTGGAATGCATAGGAAGCTTCAATTGTAGGAGTTGGAAGAATTGAGAAATGAAACTTATGAGAATGCACTTATTCATAAGTTGAAGAGCAAACTTTTTCATGATCAACAAGTCTCGAGAGAAATATTTATGGCTGGGCAAAAAGTTCTTCTTTCTCACTCGAGACTTAAATTTTTCCCAGGTAAGTTGTGTTTTCGATGGATTGGTCAGTTTGTAGTACTAATGTTTTTCATTTTGGTGCAATGGAGATCCAAAATTTGAAGGCAAAAAAAAAGTTCGTGGTGAATGACCATCGTCTCAAACCTTACTATGAAGGATTTTCCATTGAGGAAGTCGTGCTTAGGGTCATTTTCTGATTAGGAAAATAGTCAACGGCCGTATCTTGACTGTCGAAAGAGTAAGGAAAACTGGCTATCAGAGGTTGTTGGTAGCTTTAACTAACCTAGTAATGGAGGAATAGAATATCTTTGCGTCAGTGATTATATATTTGGATCAGTGCTGAGAAGTTGAACCTTTGAGTAGAATTTTATTTACCGTTGTTTTTATCTAATTATTCCTTTTTGGTATTGTTAAGTTAATCAAATTGTATTTAATTTTTATTTTTCTTTATTATTGTCCATTTAAATCCCCCATTTTCCTTAACTTAAAAAGAAACGAATTCCTGCCCATTCCCTGAGAAGACAACCCTACTTGCCACTGTCTACAAGTTAATAATTTTCTGTCTGTTAGTCAATTCTGATATATCGGATTAAGCAAACTCTTCGAAACCAGGGTGAATCAAGTAACCCATTGCACATCCAGAGTCCCTGCTCCAATACCGGGAATTGATTGTTCAATGTCTTTGGTGGTAGTTAGATTTTTACTATTGCACAGGCTCGGCACCTGTCAGAAATCTCTATTTTTGATGAAAAATAATAATAAAAGCAACACCAATTCTACCGAAAATTAAGAAAATAAAAATGCAATTTAAAGAAGAGATATATTTGATCGAAATTTTATCCTGATTAAATCTGAATTAGAGTACAAAACCCAAATGCTTAAATAGTCTTGGGTATTATTCATTATTTTATGTATTCTTATTGTTTTTTTCATATGTAAATATGCAATTGCTGTATCGTTTTAATATATATATATATTTTTTGGTAGTAGTTAGGGCAATCACAAGATATTATCAGTTTTTCATTTGCATTTTCAAATGCCAATACTTGCAACCATTGTGATCAATTTTCAATTTTATATGCTTTTCATATTATGAGAGGTAAAGTTAAATATATTGTAAAAATATTAAACCAAGTTCCAAATTATGCATTTTTTGCTTCAAATTTTAACTCTTCAATTTGGCGGTTGAATATAGATTCAATGACAATATTTCTCCTTTGAAAATTTAAAATCATTCAATTCAAAATTAATATGAAAAATAACTAAAATTGGTGTTTTTATACTTTTGTATTGAATTTTCATTTCTACAAATTCACTTTATAATATTGTAACATTGACAATATGTTAAGCTATGTTTTGAATAAACAATAGATAAATTAGAATTCTCATAACAATAGAGATAGGAAATACCGATCACAATTACTACTATTTAAAAAACAAAATCCCAACACACACACGACATATTGTATACATATATATAGGTATGTATGTATATGTACGTATATGTATTTCTCAAATGCATATAGGAGAATAATATAGATTTTTATATCGTATATATCTCCAATGGGAAAATGTGATATTACTTTATTTTGTTTAGCAGGGTAGAAAAAAAATAGGGAGTAGAGGAAAGGGAAATGGAGGAGGTTGTGTGTGGGGAAGAGACGTTTGGGACTATTCTAGGGTTTGGGAGAATGGTGAAGAAAAAAAAAAGGAAATTGGGGGGCAAGGATAGAAAGCTAGAGGCTAGATATAAGCAAGGGAAATGGAATAGTAAGAAGTTAAAGAGTGGTATGAAAGTCAAAAAGAAAAGATGAACTACAACAAAATTGAACAGAGAAGGGAGAAGAAAGAAGGCGATTGTGGAGATATGATAGGAAGAATGGCATCGTAGTAAGAGGTCTGAAAGTCGTAGATGACACCAGATAGCTAGCTATCGGGTGAGAGAGGACGGAAAGAGTGGTAGTTTTTAATAATTTTGAAAAATTTTAAAAACACATATTACAAAGATTTTTTTAAATCTATATTAAAGTTTATGAAGAATACTATTCTATAAGCACTTAGCAATTCGAGGATTACAAGATGGGAGAAAAAAATTTTCTAAAATTGAGAAAAATGAATTAGTTATAATTTATATATTAATATTAAAAATTTTGATATATGGGTATAACGTGATATATTGATAATTAAGTTTACAATTAGTCTATCATGTAAATCATTATAAATTAAATTATTTTATTCAAATTGTTATCATATATTTACAGACAATTGGTAAACAAATTTTGGTTTCAAATTATTTAAGATTTTTTTAAAATTATAGGATTTTATTGCACTGAAAGGGAGAGTACGACTTGAGAAATGAGAAAGGAGTACAACTATCCCATTACATGGCCAGAGTGATGAACCATCCTAATATAAGGCAGTTAGACCCTATTTAGGGTAACTAAGCCTATAATATGCCTAGGAATTTGAGTCACAGAGAGGATTGAGCAGTATTGTGAAGAGCTTGTAAGCATAGCTAGAGTGTTTGCCACCGCATTAGCCTCCCGAAAAGTGTGGGTGAAGACGAAATATTTGCTTAGGGCTAATTCTTTGATGCGAGAGACAAACTGCCATATCCTCCATGGAACCTGAGTTTTGCCTAGCAACATGAGCACTAGGTCTTTGGAATCCGTTTCAATTTCCACATTATTGAAACCACGCTTCGTGCAAAGCTGTACCCCTTCAAGAAAGGCCAAGGGCTCTGCCTCTATGTTTGACCTAATCCCAAAAAACATTGCAAATCCAAACAAGACATTCCTGAAAGGGTTCCGAATAACATCACCCTCGCCTGAATAGCCAGGGTTGCCTAGGGACGATCCATCTGCATTTAGTTTCACATAGCCAAGAGCCGGATATTTTCATAGAACCGAGAGTGGAACTTTAGGCTTAGGCTTGGATAATCGGGATACCAACCCCAAATTTACTAGCATAGGATCCTCAATCATAGCCTGGACAAAAGGAAACGCTTGCAAGATGGACAAGACTGACAACTGGATCTACCGACAAACCTGCGTATGACAAGTGTTACTACCGTTATAGAAGAGGTGATTTCTAGCATTTCAAATCTCCCAGCAAATGATCGACGGTAAGATTATAAGCAACATCCCTTTCACTGATTAAATGAGCCATTGGACCACCAATGTTATAACCGCAGCAAAACACCAATTGATGAAAATGCTGGGAGCTAAAGAGCACGGGAAAAGAAACCCCAAATAGCTGCTGCAAATCGACAATCTAGTAGCACACGATCACGTCTTTCCTCACTTGGGCAAAAAAGGCACTTGGAGAGAAACTAGAAACCAAACTTTCACAATGCTTCAGGAAACGGAAGATACTCGTTCAACATTCTCCACATGAAGATGGAGATCTTGTAAGGGAGGCGGCGATCCCAAATTAATTTCCTGGAACTGAGAGCCACTCGCACACCTCGGGTTGCCTCATATGCAGAGGAGGTCGAGAACTTCCCCGAGACTGTAAAAGTCCAGACTTACTTTCTCTCCTAGAAATCCAGATCTTCGGAGAAGTGATTGACTGTAGCTTGTGCAGAGAACATCCGCTTCCACACCCTAGAAAAGATTCGTCACGTATGGCCCGAGCCATACATGGATTGCATGAAGCTGGCCCACAATGACTCCATATTCCAAAACCGCCACTATAGCTTGCAGCTAAATGTCATTTGCACATCACTGAAACTCCGCAAACCTAGCCCATACTCAGTTGTAGAGTAAAAGAAAATCCATTTTATACATACTAAATAAACTTTTTTTAATATGTTAAGCATACACATCTTTGAAATTTTTTTTTGCTTTTTCATATACTTTATCCTATACTATAATATATACATACACATTAGTATCTATTGTTTCAAATTGAAATACAAACCCATGCATAGCACAGGTCAAAATGCTAGTATATATATATTGCAGGGCAGGTTTTAGTGGAGACCTCTGGATTGCTTTAAAACTCCCATACTTTTTTGGATTTTTCATTTATTTTAATACATAAATTCAATTAAAAAGTTTGAAATAATGATTTACAACTAATCCTATGACAATTCAAATTTAAAATTTAAAATTTAAAACTTCCCTACTTTAAATGAGTGCATAATAAATCATTTACATTTTGTTTTCAAACTTTCACCCCTTTTGCCTTCCATAATTAAATAAAATAAATTTGGATAATGTGATTAGTTCCATTATTTAATCATTTACATAGTAACATCTTTAACACTTTCCTTCCAAGTATATATATAAATTTGTCAAATATTTTGATGACATATCCAATTATAACCATTCTTTAACCATTTAACCTATTGCAACTAATCTAATTTATTAGCCTTAAACTTATCTTATTAGACAATTATTCCCACAAATGAAATAAACATTCTGACATAAAATGTCACCTAAATAATTGTTGACATGTGTAAAACTCCATCTGGATAATTTTTCATATAATACATATATCAAAAAATAAGCAAAAATAAAATTTTTATATTAATTTTAAATTAATAAAGGGGCACTTAGATTTTTTTGAAGTGTTTATCAAAAAAATTTAAAACAAATATTTGTTTAAACAACTATTTTGGATGGTCATTGCAGAAAGTAGTGGTATTTCACCAGAGTTATACCTATTTACTTTTTCTCGATGATTATAATTCTAACTTTTTATTTGAAAAAAAAGCACTTGAAAAATGAGATAATGAATCCTAAATAATAAAAGAAATAGAAAGATAGGAGTATAGGGCTAGAGAAGATAAAAATGAGGTAACAAATCTTAAATAGTAAAAATAGTACAAATATAGGAGTATCGGTTTGGGAAGGGTAAAGTCAAGG